ACTGTGCAGCTACTGGTACTTTGCAGGAGGCGAGTGTGGTTTTGGTTGGCCTTTTTGAAGACACCAGCCTGTGTGCTAAACATGCCAAACACGTAACAATGATGCCAGAAGACATCAGCTAGCACAACACATGTGAGAATGTGCTAACGAATTCACTAGGAAGGCCTCTATCCTCCAACATCAAATAATGCCACATTTTTTTTTCTCTTCTTCCTGTTATTGGTAATTCTGAACATCAGATAATTTCCCCCATGGGGTCAAAAGGTACCTAAGTATATGACTGCAAGTGGAAAAACTGGAAGCAGATACCAGGTTCTGGTCATTTTTCCACTTTCATTTGTGTGTGAATTTTTAATATAAATGCGGGGATTATAATTTTAAAATAAATGCAGTGAATTTTTAATATCGATGCCAGTCAAAATGTTTCAGTGAACAAGTTTCAGCAATTCAACTTTATAACAATTATAAATAAAATTTATTTTTTTCTGGACAATGCCAGTATTTGGATTTTTTAAAAATATTTTTTAGTTGTAGTTGGACACAATGCCTTTATTTTATTTATTTATTTATTTATTTATTTATTTATTTATTTATTTATTTATTTATTTATTTTATGTGGTGCTGAGGATTGAACCCAGCACCTGGCGTGTGCTAGGTGAGCACTCAACCACTGAGCCACAACCCAGCCCCTTGGATTTTTTTAAACAAGTAAATTTCTTATGGACAGCAACTAAATGGTGTTTGTAGCACTTTTATCATACTGTAGCCTTACTATTCATTTGCTATACTTTTCTGAGTTGTCCTACATGTTTTTAATGTAGGACAACTTCTGTGCTGTTAAAATACATTAAAGTATAAAAAATTGCTACATTTATAAAACAAAGCACAGAAATAAAAGCAAAGGCTTGATTTTGCTCCAATATTACATTTCTATTCTTTTTTTTTTTAAGCTACATTTTAAGAAATTTTTTTCCAGAGGAGATGGAGGCAAACTTCTCCTAAGAAGGACCTGGTCAAACTTTAGATTGGGGCAGAATAAATGTATTCTCCATAACACACAGTTACTTCTTCTAAGTTGTACTTGGTTCTTCTCCAGTGAATCCTCTCTATATTGTACTTAATATTACTAGTCTGAATTTAAATTGACCAAGACAATGAACTTTTTTTCTTTGCTTTAAAAAAGCTTTTTGAAAAAACAACCAAAAAGCTGCTTGATTTTGACAGCTTTCAGAAAGCAAAGGTAAAGAGTAAAGGTAACTATGGTGTATACCACAATGGTGAGATGAAATGAGATTTGATATTAGTCTCATCAGCACTTGGATTGTATGCGTATTAGTGATGGAATCAGGATTTGAGCATGTGGCTATTTGTTGGAGTTTGCCACCTAATTTAGTCCTCATTCTTCTGGCCAGTAGGATTCCATTTTTGTATTAAGGCCTCTATTCTCCAACATCAAATAGTGCTGAGGTATATTTGTCAAGTGACTCTGCCATCTCTCAGTAGAAGGTAGGCAATTGACCAAGCTAGGTCAGTCCGAATTTTTTTCCTTTGATTCAAGGTAGAAGCACTGACCCTAACTACCTAAATGCCGGAACTGTCTTGAGTTCCCTCCTTTCTAAAGACTCCTGTTCATATTTTCCTCCAAATTCTGTGAATGTCCTTCCAATAACTGATTCTTACTAAATCTGTCACTTCTTTACAACTGCTGCCTCCTCAGCACCATAACTCTCAACCTGGACTCATGGAACAAAAGGTGAATGTGGACAAAAAGTTCAAAACACTGAGTGGCAGTATAGTTTTGGTCTCATTACTTAAAACAAGCAAAACACCTTATAGGGCTGGTGTGTGAATTCAGTGAGACAAAATATATGCTCTAGGAGATCAGGGAGTATGAGTTAGCCTCTGTTGTACCCACAGTGCCTATTGTAGAACAAAGAAAATGGTATCAATAAGTATGCACTGGTTTGTTGAATACTGCTTTTGAAACACTGTCAACTTTAGTATGTAATAGGAAGAGCTGTGTCCTTATGCCCAGGATGACAAGAATTGATTTCTATTCTCTTTCTCCTCAAAAAAATTTGTCTTAGTCTTGATTTCTCTTTCTTTTCCTCGAATCTTTTTTAAAATATTTTTAGTTGTCAGTGGACTTTGTTTAATATGTAGTGCTGAGAATCGAACCCAGTGCCTCACATATTCAAGGCAAGTGCTCTACCAACTAAGCCACAACCCCAGCCTTTTCCTTGAATCTTTATGTTAAGTCTGACTACTTTATTTTGGAACCCAATTAATTTGCCTGTTCTCCATGATGTCTAAAATCCTAAAATCAGAAAAGTCACCCTTCTTGAGTGGAGAGTAGGAAGGTCTATATTTACAGGATTGGAGGGAAGGAGAATATGCCTTCTTTCTTTTGTCTTCAGGATACATGTCCCCATTTGATAGCTCTGAAATATGCTAGGGTGGGGATCACCATAGCATACAGTGACAGTGACAGTGCTGTTAAATGTTCCCCAGAGAGCCCAGCTTGGAAACAACTGGGCAATGTGAGAGTATGAAGATATTTGTATTATTATTACTTATTATTACTACTATTTTGGCACAGGAAATTTAATCAAGGGTCACTTTATCACTGAGCTACAACCCCAGCCTCCCTCGACTTTTTTTTTCTTTTTTTTTTTTTTTTGAGACATGATTTCACTAAGTTGCTGACGCTGACCTGAGCTTGCGATTTCCTTCTCTCTCAGCCACTGAGATTACAGGTGTGCGCCACTTCACCCAGCAGAAAATGATATTTCTTTAAAGGACAGAAATCCCTGAACAGCACTGGGGGTCATTATAGCCCAAAGAACAACTCCAAGTCCCTCTTATGTGACACTAGGGACATAGGTGTCAGATACAGACACCAATCCCAGGGATTAGCAGAGGGAAAGAGGATACTGACCAGCTCAGTCCCTAGAGTGACCCCAGATGCTCCTGGTCTGAGATCAGTGTTTGTTCTCAAAAAAGAAATAGGTGAGAAGTTTTAGAGGTACTGATGTTCCCCACAATTTTCGAGTTTCAGCTGGGGATCACAGGATCCATATAATCACAGAACAGAGAATTTAAGCCGGAAAGGAAAGCCTCTAGCTGCACAGAGGGCTCAGGGTTTGAGGGAACCAAAAACAGCTCCATCTCCTGGTCCATGCTGACCCCTAGAGGTCCGTATGGGTATTGCGGCTCTCTTCTTCGCTGTCCCCATCTTCTCAGTTCTGGATCAACTTATCCTAAGAGACTATTGGGTCAGAGGTTTCCTATGAATCCCGGGGGAGAATTAAATGTCCCCGAAAACCACATTCTTCATTTTCACTTGAATGCCCACCGGATTCCAGAATCACAAGTTTCCTAAACAGTACTGTAGCCCCTCCGTCCACACTCCAGCATTGCCCCTCTGGTTTGCAGAAACCCACGCTTATGGATTAAGTCTGAATATTTGGGGTTGGAGATGGGCAGGGAAAGGCAAGAYCAACCTATGAAGAACCACAGTGTCTGCCTGAACAGTCCTCCCCCTATCAGAGCATTAGTTGAAGACTGTTTTCTTTYTGTTAGTTTTGGGATTGAACCCAGGGCCTGATACATACTAAGCAAGCTCTCTACAACTGAGCTACCCCCTCCAGTCCCATTGGATGAGTTTCAATGAAGTCACTTATCTAAGCCATCTTCTCCGGGGGGCTATCCAGGGACCCCTTCTTTGTCAACTCGCCTTCTTTGTCAAAGCAGCCTAAGCTCCTCCCATTCCAAATCCCAAACCCTTGATTTTTCTCCTGTCCTCTCCATACTGAGGATGGATTCCCAAGACTGAAACCTAGAAGGGAGTGGCGGAGGTGGACAAGGCAGGACAAGAGAGGGGGAGGAGCAGAGGATTTCTGCCGGCCAGACACGCTGGGTAAACCTGAAACTACGTCAAGGTAAGAGGCAAAGCCGAGGTACCGCGGGCGAGGTCAGTTAAGAACACAATTCTGGCGCCGCCCTCAGGGCGTTCAGACAGTCCCCATCAGACTATCCCCTCTTTCKCCACCCCCCATTTGTCCTTCGCGGTGCTTCTGGGCTTGAAGATTCTCAAAGAGGCAAGGCAGAAGCTCTGAGATAGTTTCCAAAATCAACCAAAGGCTGCYCTCGGATAGGGTGGAATCCTAAAAATGCGGGAACAGAGACATGGACTCCAGTGCCCCCTGCCCTGCCCCCTCTCCACGGCAATTGGCAATTCGAACCCACTGGCAGGGATCTGCCACTGCCCACCGCTGATGCGCCACTCAGCCAAGACACGGGCTCCTTGGAGAGGGAGGCCTGCATCCGAGGACCCTAAGGAAGGACCACCAGGGACTTGAGGAGGGAATGATTTCAGGCAGAAATAACAGAGAAAACGTCCCCAAATTACCATTTTTTTCTGGGCAGCATATGTTCCCTTAGGCTTAAAGGCGCTCATGTGTCTCTAGTCGAGTCTGAGTTCAAATGAGGTGTAAGCCAGAGCGCAGGAGGCTCCGAGGCAAACATAGAAATGAGGATATGAATAAATTGAGAACCTGGTCTATTCCTGGCCCAAAGGTGTGGATGTGGGTATGGGTGCAGGTGCTGCCCTCCAATAAAGGGCTATGATAGTCACAAGCAGAGAGATTGCAGGCTGAGAGAGGGAGAGGGCACAATCCCAGAGTTATTTTGGGATTTTTCCCAAGGTAGCCCTCAGGACAGTGCCAGAAGCTGCACGGTCATGCTGTTGAGGCTTCTACCATTTTAATCAGAGACCACCTTCTTCCATCAGATTGGTTACTTGGGAAACATCCCCTCCCTGAACAATGCAACCTCCTGTTTGGCCTGAAGTAGCTATAGGCTAGAGGTTGCTGTCCCTGTCCCTTCTTTCTAGATACCCACCAGAAAGATGTAATCCCTGGAAGTACTCTTGCAGGAAAGGTGACTCTGGAGGAAAGATCCAGAGGGAAGGAGAAAGGAAATGAGGGAGGAGTGCTATGTCATATTAAATATTTATTGTTTTCTGCAGACTGACCTTGGAGTGATTCTCAAGCCGGGAAGGGCTGGTTTAGTGTTCAAGTTGCTGAGACCTTAGGCCAAGATGTTACAGAAATTACTTTGAGTCAAACAAAAATCAGTTTGTTATCCCTGGTCACCAATTCCAAGAGTTCAGCTTCACACCATAGGATTCCAGTTAAGTGAACCAGAGGTTGAGGCAGTAAAGTTTTAACCAGGGGAAGAGAGGAGCCTTGGGTGTGTGAGAGGAGGGTGACAAGACTGGAGAAATGATAAAGACCATTATTGAAGCCAAAGGAAGTGGTTTTGGGAAACCTGAAGATGCTGGGAGATTCGAGGGCTGATCCTGTTGAGGCAGAGTCCTGGCAATGGAGATTGGGTGAGTTTGAAGGGGGACCCAGGTGATGCAGGGTACGAGATGGGGTGCAGAAATCCATGGAGAGGATTGGCAGGTCTCAGTGTGGATCTCGGCATATCAGAAATTGGGCTTGTGCTTCTTGAGTTCCACCATAAGGTGGTGAATGTTGATAAGCTCAGCTCTGGCAGGGAGAGCTCGGAGCTGGGGCTGGGACAGCACACGGTGGAAGCGATGATAGAGCTGGATCAGCTGGGTCAGGGCTCCCTGGTCAGAAAAAGTCACAGAGGAATCAGGCTGTGGGGTGGTGCTAATGATTATGATAGGAATCACGTTAGGACGCATCCAGATCTTTAGGCACAGGTAGTAGTTAAAAACAGAGGTTATTTAGATGATACCGAGCCCAGGGAAAAGAGGGGGAAATAATCAGCAATGGGGGATGGGAGCACGTTACCTGAATGATACTGGTTCCATTTCTGAAGTTGGTGAAACTGCGCATTACATCCTGACTCAGAGACTCCACTGATGATTTCCAGGAACTACCAAAGCCACGAATCAGCTGAGTTACCCGGGCTGATGGCAGGGAAGAAAGAGAGAGTGCAGAGAGAGACCAGGCCAGGAGAAGTTCCACCCCACAAAGTCCTCCCCAAGGCAAGCTGTCCTCCTCATCAATCCCACTTTCCTGGTGTTCTTCCAACCTGACCTCTCCTGCTCTGCTCATTCTTCTTACTCACCTTATCACTGAATGCATCATTAACACATTATTCTCATACCTTCTTCACCTCGAAGTCTCTCAGCCTGTCCACGCTCAATCAGAGCCTCAGCCTCCTTTACAAATGCCACCAGACCTCCAAAAGGAGGAGACAGTAACTCTTCAATGAATTCCTGGAGAGACAGACAGGYAAGCATACACACAGGGTCCAGTGTTCTGGTGTCAGTAGATTTTCCCAGTTCTGGCATCATGACTAAGTGCTTAGACACAGCAGAACAACTAAACTCTAGAAAGGTCACACATTTTCAGATATTGATGGTCTCATAAGAGTAGGGGAAATCTCCAAGAATTCTCCTCTTTAAAAACAAAAACAAAAAAAAACTCTAAACTAAATTAAACTTAAGCTGGAAGCAGAGCAACAAGGAATTAGTCAAGGCTGGAGTCCAAGTGGGTGGGTAGTTGGGAGAGGCAGGGCCAATAGAAGGCAAACAGCCTCGGCTCCTTTAATATCTGGAAACTGAACCTGACACCAACTTCAGGTGGGGAAGCTGGGCCTGGGTGTCTTGTGAGAGCCTCAAAGAGGCACCAATGCAGATCCAGATGGATGCATCTTTGAGCTATTGCAAAAGCAGAGGCAAATCCTTCTCAGAGGAAAATATTCTCAATCCTAATGCAGACCCATATGACTCCCACTGATTAAGGTCAAACAATGAACTTGAAGATCATCACATAGATATGGAGGCACGCTCCCAAAAAAGTCAACAAACACAATAACAGTGGAATTAGACGACCAGGCAGCTGGGGTAGAACTGTCAGGTACATAGCAGTTGGATGTGTGGGTTTTTTTTTTTTTTTTTTTTTTTGGTACTGGGATTGAACCCAGGGGTGCTTAACCACTGAGCAACATCCCCAGTCCTTTTTATTTATTTATTTATTTATTTATTTGAGACAGGGTCTCACTAATTTGCATAGGGCCTCACTGAGTTGCAGAGGTTGGCTTTGAACTTGCGGATACTCCTGCTTCAGCCTCCTGAGTCACTGGGATTATAGGTCTATGCCAACACACTTGGCTCAGCTGAATATTCAAAAATGAAATTTTTAAATATAAGGATGCAGACATAAAGATGAAAAATTAATAAGAACTCAACTAGGAATTGTCAGATTTGAAAAAGTGGAWTTTTTTTTTAGAAATGAAGAATTAATTTTAAAAATCAACAGGTTAAACAGCAGACCAGCTATAACTGAAGAATGACACACTGATATGGAATTTATAATTGAAGAAATGACTCAGAATGCAGCACAGACAAGGAGCAGGAAATTTTTGAGACAGCAAAACATACAGAAATTTAACTAATGGGCCTAGGCAGTGATAACTGATAGCTATTGACATCACAAGAAGAGAGTCAAGATGACATTACAGGATCCTTGATGGAAGCACATACCAGTACCTCTTAAATATTCTTATTAAAAATCTAACTGAAATCTGATCAAGCCTTTCCATCTAACTACATATTTATGGGAAATACACAGATAGAGGAAGTTTAACCAACCATGAAATTCAATCAGCAAATTCTAGACCATACGTCAGTCTACATGACAAATGACTCAACAACTCAGTTTCCTCCACAAATAAGTTGTGGACGAGTAGGGGCAAAGATAGAAATCTATAGATTTTAAAAAAGGCATATTTGTGTCTTACAATTGCCCTGATATGAACTATGAATATCATTTATAACTGGTGAATCTGAATACTACTTTATGCAGACACTTATTTTTTTATTTTTTTGAGGTACAGGGATTGAACCCAGGGCCTCTGCATGAAGTACTTTACCAATAGCTCCATCTCCAACCCTTTTTAAATTTCATCTTGAGACAGGGTCTTGCTAAGTTGCTGAAGCTAGCCTCAAACTTTTTCCTCTTCCCTCAGCCTCCTGAATAGCTGGATTTACAGTTGTGTGCCACCATACCTGGCACACACCTATAAGGACATATGTGAGGACATATTCTGATAGTGATGAAGTGGTAATGATATATAAGATTAATTCAAAATAAGTAGGAGTAGAGAAGGAGGATGAGGATTGGATATCAGTACAATAAAACTGCTGGTGAGTTGTTATTGGGTGAAGATCAGTGGAGGTATTTGAGGGTTCATTGTGCTATCCTATAAACATATACATTTGAAGTTTTCCACAATAAAAAGTTAAATTAAAAAAAAAAGTGAGGCACTGAGCAACTCAGCAAGACCCTGTTTCTAAATAAAACACAAAATAAGGATGGGGATGTGGCTCAGTGGTTGAGTGCCCCTGAGTTTAAGCCCCAGTACCTCCCACTAAGTAAGTAAGTAAATAAATAAATAAATAAATAGAAGGGAATTAAAACAGGAGATAAATAAAAAAAACAAATTTTAAAAACCTAAAAAAAAACAAACTAGTCATGGTAGAATGCAACTATATAGTCTCAACTACTGGGGAAAATAACCTAGAAGTTTAAGGCCAACCTGGGCAACAGAGCAAGACCCTTTTAAGAGAAAGAGGGAGATGGCAGAGCACAGTGGGGCACACCTGTAATCTCAGTGACTTAGGAGGCTGAAGCATGAGAACTGCAAATTCAAGGCCAGCCTCATCAACTCAGTGAGATCCTGTCTCAAAATAAAAAATAAGGGCTTAGGATATGGCTCAGTGCTAGAGCACCTGCCAGGCATGTGTGAGGCCCTGGGTTCAATCTCCAGGGTTGGATCCCCAGCATCACCAAAACAAAAAAATAAAAAATAAAAAGGGTTGGGGATGTAGCTCATCGGTAGAGGACCCCAGGTTCAATTACCAGTACCAACCAATATTAAATAAATAAATAAAGGGGGGATTGGGTGGTAGTTAGGGCTGTAGCTCAATGGTAAGTATGCCCATGACCCTAGGTTTGATCCCCAGCACCCAACAACATACCAAACAATAACAATAAGAAAAATCTCAGAGAGCTAAGATATGAACAGATGAAACTACTAGCCCATTTAAAAATACATTACTTGTATCTTTTCCACTCTTCCCTCAAAATATCCATTTATATCCACTGAGGGTTGCCAGGTAACTAATGTGAGACTTAGGGAGACAGACTTCAAGAAAGAATCTTTCTGTAATTAAGCCATCATTATTTACGATGTGATTTTGGACATAGATTAAATAATAAAATTCAACCTATATCATTGCCTAAATGCAATTATTCTCTCTCAACATTATAATAGTATAAGACCCAGGAAGTGGGCTGCAAAGAAAAAAATGAGCTAACTTGTGACAAGTCCATAAGTCACAAGCCACTTATTTTACAAAGCATGGGAAATCTGAACTAAAACAAGTAATAAGCATAAAATATGTACCAGGTTTTGGAGACTTTGTACTGGGAAAAAATTTAAACATATTATTACATTTTTTAACTGATTATAGGTTGAAATGATATTTTGATTAGAGTGGTTAAAATAAAAGGTTACTAAATTCATTTCACCTTCTTTCTTTTTTTTTTTTTTTCATGTTTTTATTTTTTGCCATGCTGGGAATCATGAGTTCAAATCCAGCCTCGGCAAAAGTGAGGTGCTAAGCAACTCAGCAAGACCCTTTCACTAAATAAAATACAAAATAGGGCTGGGGATGTGGCTCAGTGGTTGCCCCTGAGTTCAATCCCCAGTACTGGATCAAACCCAGAGCTTTGTGCATGCTAGTAGGTACTTTGCCACTGAGCTATATTCCCAGCCCCTAGCTTTTTTTAATATGGCAACTAGAAAATTTTAAGTTACTTGAGGTGGCTGACAAATTGGCATGCATTGTATTTTATTGGACAGTACTTTCTATTTGTCCAGACTTGGATAAACTTTAAACTTTCTGTTCAGCAAAAGAGAATATTTGGTAGCAGAGGATTGGCCAGAGGGAAACAGGGCACTGGACTTAGGCTTTCCTACAAAGTACCAAACAGATGACAACCAAAAGACAGGGAGCATAGATGGCAGCTGGCTCCCATACTCAGTGCTACAGTGTGGATTGTGTATGTCCCCAAAAGGTCCATGTGTATGTGTTAAAGGCTTTGTCTCCAGGATGGCACTATTGGGAGGTGGTGAATGTTTAAGAGCTGGGGCCTGGTGGGAAGTCTTTAGATCATTAGGGACATGCCCTGCAAGGGAATTGTGGGACTCTGGGCTCTTTCTATCTCTCTCTCTCTCTCTCTCTTTTTTTTTTTTTGCTTCCTGGCCATGAGGTAGAGTCATGTGCTTCTGCCATGATG